AACCTTGTAACGATGGAAGAAGTCTATGGCTCTATCACCGGTGCTTTTATCGGCTATTCTTTCTGCATCCATTGAAGGATGAATATAGTTTTTATAAGAAAATGAGTGACCAAATTTATTAAACCATTTTACACATAAAACATACTGATTATGTATCTTCTTGTTAATACTATTTGCAATCCAACTTAATTCAGTTTTATTGCTAATGTGATAGCAAGCGCTAGAAATTGAGGGCCTGTTTGAGATTACTTTTTAAATATTTTTTTAGTTTTTTTAGTTTTATAAATATGTTTGTTTAGTGTAAAAACGCTCAAACAACTTTTAAATGTTTGGATATTTTTTAAAAAAAACAATTATCACAGTTTGCTAACCCTTATCAGGAGAAATTATTCTGTGCAGAGGCCGAACGTAGCTCTACGTCTGGAGATGAATCAAGTGCAGCTACGTCAGCGGTACCGAGCCACAGTACCAAGCGAACAGTGATGTGGCACATTCTGGTTGATCTACGGACGGACTTTCGACATCCGCACAAAATAACTTTTCCCCTTATCAGCCGCCACCACTTTCAGCCATCGTCAGCTATCAACACCAGAATATTTAATAATAATAATAATAATACTATGTTCTTAACATATCAAATATTTTTTTTTCAAATCAAAATATAAATAAAATAAATAAAAACATTTAAAAAAAAAACTGATCCCAAACGCCCCTAAACTTTTAATTCCTTTTTTTGATATGCCTACTAGCTTAAAGTTTTATGAAAATGGATGTGGTCTTGACTATAGTTATTTAAAAGCTTCTTTTAAGATGGTTGTTTTATTATTTTTTTAATTACTTTAAAAATTGTCCCAAATAAAATCTAAAAAAAAAATTATTTTGGAGATTCAAGATGTACAATATTTTGATTAATCCATATCCAATGAATAACTTTTCTTTCTAATAACTAAATTTTAATATTTTTTACTTAATTCTTAAATTTTTAAATCACATCATAAATAGTATTAATGTTAACTTTTTAAAATTAAAATATAGCTTTTTATGTATATATTTTGATAAAATCTAGACATTAAAATATAAAACTAATATCAAAATTTAGGTGTATGAAAATGCATAAAAACTATATAATATATGTATAAATCCACCTAAAATAAAATCACATCATCAACTGTACCAGTTGCAAGCAAATTCATTAATTAACAGGCTGGCTCGTAGAGATCAACCCAAAACAAAAGACAAATCACCTTCAGCTCATTCAAAAATCAATATTGCTTTTGTTATGGACGCATATATGAGATATTTGGTCAATTTCGATAGAATATCATTTCTGTATTTTTTATGAATGCAACTGAGACTGGCATTTTTATATAATAAGATTTAGTCATCTGTATAATTTATTTATATATTTAATATCTAAATATTTTTATTTATTTATATAACACTTAAAAATCTATTATATCAAAATCTGTTAATATTAATTTATTTAAAATAATATACATATTTTATTATACTTTAAACATTAAAAAAGTATATTAGTAAATATAGATTTTTTTTTTAAACAGAAAAATATTTATTGAATAACAAAGAGATGTTACAACAACCAAAGGCCAACAGTCTAAGATACAAAATAGTACAATCCCAAAAAAGTCAGACATAACAAAATAAACAACGAGAGGGGACTCAGGAATGGAGGCCCCCAGCACCAGCCTAGCAACCAAGCACAGACCATCCGTAGGTGATAGTATACGATCACAATCCATAATCCAAAGCTGAGGCACCCAGGTTGCCAGCCAGATTAGCCAACTAGGGGAAGCAGGGGCCTCCTCATCATTGTCCATCAAAACACCAAAAACCACCGACGAAACCTCAAAAGTCAAATCACATACACTATTTCTTCTTGACTTTCCTTCTTTGCTTATAACCACTCGCATTAATAATATCACGAACAGTAAAGTGATCCTTCTCAAATTTATGATAATCAGATTCTTCCCCACTAAAAGGGGAAGAAAAGGAATCCTCTAAAATTAACCAGTCAGTTTGAATCAAAACAGAATTTTTCACAGACTTAGTCACATGCTCTTTCATTTCAATATCAGACAAAATCGAAATAGGGATATTAACAAAACTAATATTGCCCTTCAAGTTGTCATTAGAAACCAAATCCGATGAGCATGAACATGCTTATCCAAAACCAAATTAACAGAAGAGGAGGCATCGTCCCGATTCGCGTGAGCCATAGGGGAAGGTTCACCACAACCAGACAAATCCCACAAAAGAGAAACAGAAGAATCAGATTGCTCAGCTATCACATAAGGAACATCAGCCATAACCAAACCGCACAAGACACTGTAGGCTTAGATTTAACACCACAATTTAATTCACAAGCATCACTTACACATACCCGAGGGAGTTGGGAAACAGGAACAACCCCAACCACCACAGAGTCCACATGGACTAAATTAGGATTAGAAATAGCAGGTGGAACCCCCTCGAGATCAACCTCATTCCCAACCAAATTGTCTGCAGGGTATAAATCTACAGCAACCACCTCATTCAAAAAATTCTCTACAGCAGGCAACGGTTGAACAAGGGGAGGGGGAGAGGAAATAACCAGCTCATGAGTAACAGAAACCTTGTTAGAACCCTTGTAAGGAATAGATGCATCAACCACAGGATGACAATTACCAACAATATGACCAATACGCTTATAAGAAGCACAAAAAGAAGGGAAATCCTCCATAACCACTTGCTGAAGATAGTCGGACTTCTCAGGGCCTGACTAGACCTTATCGGGGTAGGATTTAGTAATATCCAGCTCCACCAAAACAAGAGCTAAGGACGGCCCGAAACCAATGGAGGACAGCCGAATCAATTTTCAGGGCTTTGCAAAAGAGCGAACCCAAACCGTGAAGAATGTGGGGAGAGAAGAGGTGAGGACGCAATTGAGGGAAGGATACCCAAATCGGAACGATCAGTGACTCAACACCAATATCAGCAAGGGGCGACCACTTGGTAAGTTTCATGTAAAAATTATATACTAAATAAGATCTATGGCAGAATACCTGACAGTAATCAAGGTCATTTTTCAACTTTATAATTATATGCGACGGTCCATCAAGGTGACCAAAAATTCCTCATTCAAGTTAAGATTAAAGAAAAACCGATGAATGGAATTAAGAGATGGTCATTTGGAGGGGAAAAATCAACTAAGGAAAACTGAAAAGGAGCAGCTAAAGCATTGATCTCCTGTCTCGAGATCCACAGAGAAGGTAATCCACGTAAAGAGGAAACCCTAAGTTCCAGAATAGTAGCAAAAAAAAAAAAAGATGAGCCTGCAAGAACATGTAAAAAAGAACGCGACGAAGATGAAACCCCTAAAAAATCAGGGTCGCAGAATTTCGGTGCCATTTCGGCACGCACCGGAAATGAAAACGATCCAACAAACGAAAAGCCAAAAGCAAAACCAGAAAGGAAGGAGAACCTCCCTGTAAGAAACGGAAGATGCCAGTGCCACCGAAGCAAGTAGCCCCAGCCAAGCAGAATCACGCCACAGAGAGCTAGTGAAAAGCCCTAGCAGAGCGGGCGAAATGAGAGGAGATAAAAAAGCTTCTCCATTCCATTCGTCATATTAGTAAGTATAGATATTTAACTTTTAGATATGCAATTTGATTTTAAGAATATCTGTAAATAAATTAGAAATTACTTAAAAATATTCTTAAATATTTTTTGTTAGAATGGACTTTAAAGTTTATAAACTTATATTGATATTAGTATTTTTTTATAATATCATGAGCTTCATTAACCTCTATATAAATTTAAATATTTTAAAATAAAGATATTCTACTCTTTTTTTTCTCTATTTAAATCTTCTAAAACTGATGTACTCAGAGAGAAAAGAGAAAGACATAGATAGCTATGTGTGAAAGTGTCCCAAATGCTTGGTCCCCTGCCGCCTTCTCTTACAGCTCCTTCATACTGTTACAGTCATAATGAGGCCAAACACGTGACCAAGACCGGAACTGTGTAGTTCCGAAGATGAAGTCGCCGGGGAAGTCTTTCCGGCGAAGCTCGCCGCCTCTGGCAAATGCTGCGATTTCTCCAACAAGTGAAAAGAAGAGGATGATAAGAAAAATAAGAAGATGATGGTTAGTTCTCATGACTGCTCGAAACTCCATTATTTAATTTTTAGCTTCAGCGCTTGAAGTTTTCTCTCTATTATTAGAGCTTATCGATGTGCTATATAAGAAAAAGAAGCAACAGCAGCAGCCATGGAGATGGAACTGTATATGTAGGCCCAGTTTTGTTTCAAATCGCATGACTGCCATCGCTGCACTTAAAATCCGTCGGATTCAGAGCACAGGGAATGTGTAAGAAAGTAATTTTATTTAAAAAGTTATAAAATATGCATATTCTTCTTGATTCTCCGCTTAATAGCTTTTTCTTCATTTTTCTAGAAATTTACTCAACGCAGATATAAGAAAGCGTGACTCATAAGAGCTTCAAATTATAAAAACACAATTTTAGCATAATATTTGTGTTTGACTTTTTTTGTTAGAGTGTTGGTGAAAATTGATTATAATTCAACAATAGTCAAATTCTTTTTTTAATTCAATAACTTAAATTTATAAGTGAATGGCTTCTAACACTGATTATTTTCATTTTTTTATGCAATGCAAGTATTTTCTTGGTTATCTTCTTTTTATTTTTATATATCATAACATGAAATAAATTTACAATTATTATTCATAATTTAGACTTTGTTTGAAACAATTTTTATTATTGTCTTTTAAATTAATTTTTAATTTTTTTATCCCAAAAAACTGTTTTTAACATTGTGTCAAACCAAATCTTAATTTTGTGAAATAATTGAGCTTCAAATGCTAGATAATCATGAACTCCTAAAAAAATAAATAGCTCACCTTGATCTGTTGGTTGCGAGCTTATGCTATCAACCAAGAGGTCTCGGGTTCAATGATAGGATCTGTCAAGGCATGATGGTCGACTGAATAATTCTTTTTCATAGAATCGTACCTTCATTTCTTTGCCGGACATTTTATCAATGCAGAACAATACAGATATAGTGCTCAAGTCGATTAAAAATAGCTCTAATATCTCAAGAATTAAGAGAAATTCTTTTAGAATTATATATATATTATAAAAATCTAATATTTAAGCTGTCTGGTTAGATATAATATGAAATTTTACCACCTGCTGCTAAGTTCTTAAAAACTTAAATCTTTATTTCTCTTCTCAAAAGTCTGCTCTTCTTCTTCAACCACGCCTCTTCTCCAATGAGCTGCTGAATTTGTTAATCCTTCTCCCCCGAGCTCCAAAGATCAAGCCCATTATAACTCCAACAAGCCGAGCTCGAGCTCGAATTGAAACTTGCCTTTAAGTTGAAGAGCCAAGTTGGAGTTAGCCCAAATTCGAGCTTGGCTCAACTTATTTACACCCCTAGGATAGAGAAATTCCATCTATGAAAGAAAATTAGAAATAATTAGAGAATCAGTCCTGTGATTTTCATTGCATTAGTTTTTTGCTACAGGCAAAAAGTGGATAGGATTGCCAGGGTTGAATCTATAAATAGCAACCATCAACTGCAATGATGAAGGCAAATGATATATTAGGATTCAGGAATAGCAAGCTATATGCCAGTTCTGCAATTATGCACTCACTTGCAAATTATAAAAAACCAATCAATGTCAGATTTGCAAATCTGCAAACGTTTACAAGAGAGCTATGAGACGTGAAAATATATTTTGGTTCTCAGCTATGCTGCCAAAGAAAAGGTTTCATGAGTTTCATGCTCTTCTAAACATCAAAATACTCGTAAATAGCAGAGTTTAGAAAGTCAAAAAACCATAAGAGCATAGTATAATTACAGAGGCCAGTGTAAATCATGAAGGTGATCATAAACTTCGTTCGGGCTGACATCATCAGGGCAATGCCTGTTCCCCTGAGGAGCCAGCTCTAACTCACCTGAGAACTGGCAGTTACCAGTTGTCCGGATTTGCCTCAATCCCATCTCATGAGAGCTACTGCTTCCTACTGCATGGCCTTTGAACGCCCAAGAGCTATTCATAAAGCTGCTTGGTATGTTTGCCGGAGCCATCTGGAATTCGATGCTTGGAGTGATCACAGGATCGCCATGGTTTCTCGACGTGCCAGAAGCCGTAGCTGAATCCCATGGGTGAGTTGACAGAAGAGAGAGAGCACAGGTGGAATCTGACACACCTGCAGTTATATTTAGATGGATATATGAACATACATAGCATATAATTCATATATGACCTTCAAGTAAGTTGTATATTCCTGAACAGCTATATTCGACTTTATTACTGCATTCGTTTGTGGCGAATTTTTTTACTGTTTCTTAAAGCCAACTTTCTACTAAAAAATTTTTAATTTTATACTAAAAAACTGCTTTAAGAAATAGTAAAAAAGTCATCCAAAACAAAACCTAAGGGGCTTTTTGGTAGAATCTAGGATTTAATTTAAGTAGGATTTCATAAATCCTTCAAATCCGGGTTTACGAAATCCTGAGGGGGTTAAATCATGAAAACTATTTGGTAACCTTTATGATAAATCTTATATGACTATTTGGCTATTCCATTCAGAATTTAAATAGGTTGAAAGATTTGGACGGAGTTTCTTCATTCCCGCGCCAATAGAACAAGAGGATTTCAGAAATCCGCCGAACGAAAGGATTTCCGAAATCCGGGATTTACGACGAAAAGGCGGAATTTTTTGTCTACGGAAACTTCGATTTTCCGTGAGATTTGGTTTTGCATTTTAGGTCATTTGGCTGAATTTCGCCTCAAATCCGCCCTAAATCCGCATACCAAACAGCCCCTAAGTTTACAAATAGAACACAATCAATTTTGATTTGGTTGCTTAACAAAACCAAGCAGAACAACCTTTGAGCTCGCTCAAGCTCACAGCTCATTCACGCCCTACCTGCAATGCATTCACCGAGTGCTAGTTCAGGGGCGGAGAACAGTGCCGGGAGTGGATTACTCATGGCCACTCCTGAAGATTGAAAACTTCCCTGCAACTGGTTAGTAACTACCCGGTCGCTGCTTCTCATGGTTGGCCACAATATGTTTTTTGTAGCATCTGGTGGCCTTGGATGCATGAAGTCCATGAGGAAGCCTCTATGCCTAGTATTGTCCTCTGGCCACACAAAATTCAAGTACACAGATCCCATGGTAGCTTTCAGAAAGTAAAGAAAGAATACTGCGATAAAAAACCAAACCAGTGAAGGATGACAGCCCACCATAGCGTGATGGTAAAAGCCCTGGAGGTGGCTTTCTTCTACGTTCATTATGTCCCGCAAGGCGTCTGCGGCAACTTCTTTTCCCTTGGTCAAATTCTTTTAGAAGGTGGAATCTGCAGTGGGTTTTATTCACTAGGCTTCTTCAAAAGAACAGAAATAATTGCTAAAAAGGCATTGGGATTTGTGAAGGCTAAAGTTAGGTTTAATTGCAGTAACAAAAAAATGTTAAATCTTGTGAAGAATCAAGACATTTATAAATGAATGCACAAAATGCTAAAAATCATACACGAAGATGCTGAAATAAGGAAAAATGGTATCAGACTCATCCATCTCCTATCTTGAAAAGAAAAAAAAGTGGATGCTTTCTCTTTTAACACAGATAGAAATTCTTATGAAAATCTCGCATCATCAAAGAATAAATGTTTGCAGAATAAGTAAACCACTAAAATAATACATTTAAAAATTTTAAAGAACAGAATAAATTAATAACAAAGCACGCACCCGAAAAGGAGATATTGAATCTCTAACCTTAGAGCAGAAAATGTTGTTAGGCCGGTTCATCCTGAATCGGCCCAGCCAGCCTATATAGGAGGCGGAACATGTCCGCCTCCTTCGGAGCTTGTTGCCCACATTAGTGGGACCCACTTGGAGCAAATTGTGGAGAGAGGATTGTGCGGCTAGGGTGAGAGGAAAATTTTGAATTAGGGATGTTTGAATTAGAGAATTATTGTATTAATAGTATGCCTTGTTTAGGGCTAGGGTTATGCATGATTATTGGGTTCTTTGGAGTTTTCTCTTGGTGTCTTGGGCTCTAGAACTTCTTCTAGAGATTGGGAGAGAACGATCCTCTCGAATTGAGGATCAATTGTATCTTGCTTTTTGTTTGTCTTGCTTTGGATTTCCCTAATACAATCCACTGATTTTGGGTTGATTTCATCACGTTCTTGTGTGTTTTCTCGTTGTTTTTATCAATTATTGCTAGGGTTGCTTGCGAACTCAAGTATTTCCTCTTGGATTACTTGTGAACTCAAGTATTTCCTATCAAATGTCCCTTCATGTGAGCCTTGCCAATGCCTCTACTCTTAGGATCACTTCTGAGGCTCATTTCTCATTCCGAGGAATAAATCCGAATATCCAATTGGTCTAGCTGCGATTCAATATTGTAAGCAATTCCTAGACAATCTGACCAGTACAAACTCAATGTGATCCATGCGGTATCGGAAGGTCTCTTCCTATACAATCGGCATGGGAACAAAACAAGTCAGCAATTCACATGATTGGATTGATGTTCAAGTCAATGTCGGATTGGTCTCTGAGATTTCATTCTGAAGCCGATCAGCTAGGTTTACTTGAAATCTATGGACATATGGATGAATCTAATGCGCCGCACATACCAAGGTTTTACACTTACCCCTCTCTAAAATCCCATAAATAGGCTTTCTAAGCAATGTCAAACTCTTTGCATGCATTTCCTCCCTCCATACTTGTCCTTGAACCATCCTGTTCTTTTGAGAGTTGTAGAGACAAATGGCTGAGGTGATAGATCTTAGCGACTTAAGAGAGATAATTTGAGAGAGAAAAAGAAAGAAACTCGAGGAAGAAGCGGCTACAACAATTACACTGAAGACCTTTGCAACATTCCTCTTCTTCCAGGATGGTGCAAGTGGAAGGGGTTTAGGCAATTGCTTTTAAGTCGGTGAGGGTGGATGCTCTGATGGCCACAATGAAGACACTCCAGCTCCTGGAGTAGTTACTTGGTCAAGATTCCTAATGGAGTAATAAGCATTACCTATTATGTGTAATCTACTTTACTTTAATCAATCAGATTAATCGATCGCAGAGCCAATCATTCAGATTAATCCATCGCAGAGCCAAAACCTTTTATTCTTCATTCTTCTGATCTATGGTAAACTTTCCATTGTAATTATAGAGGAACATGATCGAGGAAAGGTTGTTAGGTTTTAATTTTATGTTCGAATGTTGAACTTTAAATCTAAGACTCTCAATTTTACCTTATTAGTTGCATGAATTTAGATTCTTCTACTTTGGATGCACTTATTAGACTTCCTTCATTTTCAATTTTTCTTTCTTAGCTGTCATGCGGCAGAGGTGACATTGAATATAATGCCAACTTTCGAGTATTTTTTTTCTAATTCAACAATTAAAACTACTAATTCTTAGTGTAATATAGTTTAATTTAATCAACTAGCTTAATCCATGGCCAAGCCCCAAACATTTTATTCTTCAATTCTTCCAATCTACAGTAAACTTCCCAACATAAACTATAAAGTAAGATAATCGATGATTATGAAAGGTTGTTAGGTTTTAATTTTAAGTTCAAATATTGAATTTTGAATTAAGTTATGATGCACTGACACTTCCCCTCAAAGGCGAATGCAGTGTCTGACACGTATCGAATATGACACAAGTTCGACATACCTCCAACATATATTAGACACACTAAAAATATGTCCAATAAAAAAATATTTAAAATAAATTGAACATGCGTATCCGACACATGTGTCTTAAATCTTTTATCAAGAAACTTTTCAAAATAATTGATGTAGAACAATCACGCAAAGTTGAATTACTTGAAAAAGTTTGCACGCTTAAGTGTTAGAAGCCACAATAATCATATCTTCACAATGAATTTTCTAACAACAAAATAAAACACTAAGAGCGATGAAATACATGCTTAGGCTAAATCACGCACGTAAAAGTTAAGATCATAAAACATTCAAGTTAATCTAACGTTGCATACATGATTGATTTTAACAATAATCCCTAAGTTAACAATAAAAGCAGTACTAGGAGAGGTCCCTCACACAATTCTACCAAACACTAAGCTTAAGCAGAGAACAATTGCCATGATCGTCATAAATCACATTAAAACTACAATTGAGAAGTAAACTAAGGAGATAAGAGAATTGGAGGGGAGTTAATCCAAGTAATCAGAAAATACGAAGTTCCCGCAGCTGTAGGGAGGCTTGGGAGGAAGTAGGTGGCATCTAAGAACCTTACTGAACGTGTGATCAACAACCTAGAATGTCCGGGCAGCGTTTGAAGTCCTTCCAAATGGCTGAACAGCAAGAAAACATGTGCAGACTTCCCTGGACAGCAAACCAAAGCCTTCAGACAGCTGGTACGAAAGTTTGGACAGCACGCCTTGACCTTAGTAACCTTGGCAGCAGCTCTAGGGGTGATCGGATCTCAGGACAGTGCACAAAATCTGTCCAGAAAAATTCTGGACAGCAGTTTGGCATGAAGAACTGCTGCGTTCCGGCTTTCTGGATGCAGAAATTGAAAGAGTATAGCAGGAAAATTTGGGAATAACAATGTGAGATGGTCTTGAGATTAATTTACTTGCCTAGGTGGCTAGATTAATAAAATCCCAAATCAATTTGGGGAGAGAATAGAAATCTGAAATTAATTTTCAGATTAAGTGGATTTGGTGGGATAAATTTGAATTTAAATTCAAATTTTAATGGGGAGAATTAAATTGGATGAGAGGGAATTGTGGGAGATAATTATTGAGGCTTAATGAGGGGCTATTAATGAAATTGGATAGAGAAAATGAGCATGGAGAGGGGCCGGCCATAGATAGAGAGGGGAGAGGGGAATTAAGGCTAATGAAGTGGGGCCCACACACTAATCAAAGGTTTAAAGAAAATCTGAATTAAATTTCAAATTTTATTAAGAGGGGGGTTTCCTAATTTAAGTAATAGTATTTGGAAAGCTTTTGAATTTCAAATTTGAATTTGAAATTCAATTAATAGCTCTCTTAATTACTTGGCCTTAATTTAGGGAAGTAATCAATGCCCTTTTGAAATTTGAATTTCAAACATGTGGGTTGGGTGAAGGGGGGGCCGGCGGATTGAGCAAGGGAGATGCTGGCCGGACGGGTGGCTGGCTGGAGGCCGACGGCAAGGGGAAGGACTCGGGTTAGGAAAAAATTACCAAGAAAAACTTAGTGGGTAAAGAGGCCAGCGGGTGGGAAGTTGGGAGGGAATTCGATGCAAGGAAAAATAAAATAAAAGAAAGATAAGAGAACCGCGAACCTAGCTTGGAATCCACCAAGATTGACGGGTACTGCAAATCACCCTCCTCGGGCTTCTCCCCTTATGAACTCACAAAGATATCAACATGAACTCACTAAGAGATCAACAAAAACATAAAATTTCATTATCAATAATTCATCATCCCAAATTACAAGAAACTAGCCTATAAATAGGCCTCATGAAAAGAAAAGAGGGATCGACTAAAATGCCATTCGGGCTACAACACTACATGACCACCCATAAGGGTAAAAAGGAAAAAACAACAAAATAAAATAAAACACATAAATAAATAGACTCAAGATCGTAGCCGTTGATCTCCGATGTCCTCATCAATAATTTCTTGTATTTCAATTTTTTATTTATTACAAAAATTGAAATATAAATTTCTTATCATATCTCCACAACCCCAAAGCAAACACTTGAACTCATTACCCCATTCCATGAACATTCTCACTTCCTTTCTCTCGTGAGTCACGGCTAGGATTTCACAACAACACCCAATGGCATATCAAAATCGGCGCCCAATGCCATCACAATATCAAAGCTTCAAAATCATCTCAACATTAAAGCCTGACGTTGTCTTGACATTGACACTTGACTCCACCAATTTCTACGCCCACAATTATTCCCTCATGTTGACTCAACATTTCATCTTTGTTTAGCATTGTCTCAACATCGACGGTCGACGCCATCTTGACATCTCAATATCGACGTTCAATGCCCATTGCACAATATTGATGCATGGCTCTCGACAACATTATCGTCAATCCTCTTGATGTATGAGTGTATGACATATGACATGGACGCTCGACTCTCGAAATCCCAATATTTATCATTTAAGGACTAAATAGTCTCTAAATCTTGTGTGTTTATAATCAAATCAAGTGGGTCAATGAGACGTAACCAACAATCCTAAGTTCATTCAATTTTGGGGACATGAAGCTACTAAAATGTTGATCATATATGATCTATTTGATGAATTGTTTTAAATTTGGCCAAATTAAAAAAATGCCCCTATAAAAAAGATGCAAATAGGACATTAATTTCCACATGAA